CACATTATTTCTTGCTTGCCCTCTGAGATGCCTGTATACAGGGCAGAGAAGGAGCAATAAAAATCAGCATAGCCTTGAAAGCTTCGATGTGAGACCAGGATATGCAGGCTCCTCTGACCCTGAGAAAACTGAAAACATAGATATGAGAGAGAATGATTAAGGCAATAAGCTGACCTCAAGGCCGCGAGAACTGTCTGGCTGGCACCTATGTTGATATGATCACACACAGTCGTCCCTGGGAGAGGAATCTCCCACTGAGAAAAGAATCCCCAGTACTTCCAAATTTAGGGTGTGTCTAGACTACTGAGTTTTGTCGACAAAAGTGGACTTTTGTCGACAAAACTATACCAGGGTCTACACTACCGCTGAGTTCTGTCGACATAACATCAACAGAACTCAGCAGTTTTGTTGACGCTGGTAAACCTCATTTTACGAGGCATAGGCTGCTGTGACCCTGGATGACCAGAGAAACGCCAATTGCTGACCTTGAGGCTGCGAGAACTGCCTTGGCTGGCACCTATATTGATACGAACACACAGCTGTCCTCAGGCGGGGAATCGTCCGCTGAGCAGAAAATGTCCAGTACTCCCAATTTCGTTAATCTACCTTACACGTGTAAATTAAGTTTACAACTCCCTTGTAAGAGCTGATGTCACAAAAGACAGACCAGCACCATTTGGCATCACAGATAAGAAAGAGGAATACGTGACCCCATGGGTATAAAGATGGGTCCATCAGCACACTCACTCTGAGTGTCAATCTACCATCTATCTGCTGGTCGGGTTAGGTGTTTGACCTCCCGAGGTTCCATGGGGACGCCCACCTTGTATTCGTCTTTCCGAGGAATTGAGGAACCGATCCTAGCCTGACACGCTGGGACCGAGCGACGCAGAAGGGTAAAAATTGTACCCATATGTGTCCTTTTGTTTTAGTGCATGCATAGAATAGAGCTCTTTAAAGATTAAGCTGTCACTTGGTACCATTACTTTCTATCTTCCTTTTTCCTATGTAACCCATTTTTCTTTAAGATCTGTATTTGCCAACAATTAAGAAGTAGAGCAATAGCCATTTGTAACCATATGCTTTTTTTTAAGTCTCTTTAATAAACCTGTAACTGGTTAAGTTTTAACCTGACTCCTTCAGTTGCTGTAATAGAACCAAGCACAATTTAAAAGAACTCCAGCCGGTCATAAGGGACAGATACAGACAATGCTGGGCATTTGGATCATGTCGCTTCAAGGGGACAGATCCGTTGGGGCATCTCTCAGCCTTCCCTAGGCCACCCGCTGCGAAGGGATCACAGCCTGTTGGCTGCCCCCCGCGACGGGACCCCGGTCCTAGCGGTAAAGTCACGGACGTTAAGCTTTTGCCCTCCAGCCTCCTAGGCTGCCCGCTGCGACGGGACCTTGCGTCTCAGCAGTTGAAGACTTGTGTGTAACACACACGCAAACACTGCCCTGACCGTCGGCTGACAATACTATACAGTATGTACAATAAAAAGGGTTAAAAACACTTTATATACAGTATATACTGTATACAGTGTGTGTGTGTGTGTGTGTGTGTATATGTGTGTGTATGTATATATATATATATATATATATATATAAAAAAAAAAACACCTTTATATAGCACCTCCTGATTGTGTGGCAC